GTAATATAAGAAGTAGTAGTAGTAATAATAACAATAGTCGGGATGATAATAATGAAATATAATGATGATCCTAATGCATAATAATGATAATAATGATATGAGGCGATAAAAAGGACAATAACAAAAACCACCAATAAAATTACCTGCTGCTTATATCATTAGTGTGATGCTTAAATTATAACAATAACCACTTTAGGTCATCAATATAATGGGAGAATACTAATGGTTGATAAGAATAAATATATAATAATTAATATATATATATATACAAAATAATAACTATACCAATGGCATCAAATAATAAATATCATTAAAACAACAACAACAAAAATAATCAGTCAATAATAACTAGTTTTAAATAATAGTATAGCTAGTAAATCTATAAGAAGTAGTAGTAGTAATTAATAACAATAGTGTCGCACAAATAACAAACAATAATCCTATTCAACCCTATAACCAATAATAATAATAATGATTAACAAGAATAATGATGATTCCTAATTAATAATGGTAATAATAATAAAACATAAATTAATGATAATAATAAATATGAGCCAAAAAACAAAAAATTAATGATAAAACAGTAATAAAGACAATAACAAAAAAACCAACAATAAAATCAAATACAATAACACACACACGCGCCACACACACACACACACGACACACACACACACACACCACCACACACCCACACACACACACACACACACACACACACACACACACACACACACACACGCACACACACAATGCCCCTCCACAATGAAGAGAGAAAAAAGGGAAAGAATTTTGAGAGGAGAGACAAGGCAAAGGCCATTTCACTCATCAATATCTGCCACGAAGGAGCTGTGTTCGGTCGCTGTTTACTGGGTGCTGGGAGGTTAGCGGGCGCGGGGGGGGGGGGCTTGTTTGTGGATTGGGGGTGTTTGTTGTGTTGTTTCTTTTCTTTCTTTTTTGTGTATGTTGTGTGTTTGTGTTGTGTTTATATATATATATATATATATATATATATTATATATATATATTATTATATATATATAATATTATAGATATATTATATGTAATAACATATATATACATATAATATATACATATTATACTATTACTTATTATATTATATATATATATATATATATATATATATATTATATATATATACATATATATTATATATATATATATATATATAATATATATATACATATATATACATATATATATATTATATATATATATATATATATATATATATATATTATATATATTACATATATTATATATATTATATATATATTTATATATATATATTATATATATATATATATATACATCTATGTGTGTGTGTGTGTGTGTGTGTGTGTGTGTGTGTGTGTGTGTGTGTGTGTGTGTGTGTGTGTGTGTGTGTGTGTGTGTGTGTGTGTGTGTGTGTGTGTGTGTGTGTGTGTGTGTGTGTGTGTGTGTGTGTGTGTGTGTGTGTGTGTGTGTGTGTGTGTGTGTGTGTGTGTGTGTGTGTGTGTTGTTTATTTATCCCTAATCCGTTTTGGATGAATAAGGGATGTAATATTTACTTTTTTCCTTTTTTTTTTTTTCTTTCATTTGTTATTCTGGATTTTCCGTATCTTTATTTTTCATTTTTCCATTTCTTCACCTATTTATCTATTCATTTCTCTATCTAATCACTTATCTTTGTATCCAATTATCTAATTATCCATCCATTTACTCATGAATTCCTTATTTACTCATCGAGAGGGAGATAGGAGTGAGACGTGTCAATATATAAGAGAGTTTTTCTCTGGGAGGGGGCGGGGGGGGGTATTTAACATTCGAAATGTCAATACAGACACATAATGGCAAGAAAGAAGCATGTGCTTTTATATTCATATTTGTATATATATATATATTATATATATATATATATATATATATATATATATATATATATATATATATATATATATATACTTTACTTTGCGGGGGCGGATTTGCATGAGAATGGTATTAGTGATAATGTTGAGGGGAGGGAGAGGCTGAATGAGGGGGGGGGGGGGGCGGGGAGTGGGGAATGTGAGACTGAGAGAAAGGAGAGAGATATAGATAGGGGAAAGAGAGACAGAGGCAGACAGAGACAGACAGACAGATAGGCAAACAAACAGACAAGGACAGAGAGAGGCAGACAGACAGACTAACATATAGACAGACAAACTGCCTTACTAACTAACCATCAAACCGACAAAGAAAGGGGAAAAAATAGAAAGACAAATACAGAGAAAGAGAATGAGAAATCAATTAAGACATCTCCTTGTGGCTGGATGGTTCTTCGCTTAGGTGCTATGAGACAGATACCTCTCTGTTGGCTCTCGCTCCCGCCCTCCATCCTCCGCAGATGCCACAACAACAAACAAGTGAAATGCGCTTCACTCTCGCGCACGACCTTGACGGGGAAAGAAAGTTGTGCGTGGGATTCCTCTTCCAGGGATAGGTGAGACATGGGGCGAGG